CGCTGTTTCAGGCTGCACTTTGAACAAAAATATAATTTTAAGAACAAAACTGGGGCAGATACAGTCAAAACCAGCATAGGAATGTCCTCCCTCAAAGGCTGTGTGATTGCTCGGAGTGTGTGGCTTTCTTGCTGGAGCTCATCATTTTAAAACTCATTGCTCTGGTTTCCAGAGATCCATGTGGAACAGCGAAAACCAAACAAACCTCCCAGCAAAAATGCTTTTTAAAAATGAACACGTTCAGGTTTTCTGCCCGTAACAGGACTAAAGGTAAGAATCTTTATGGGGGGCGTTGTTGGCTTTTAACTTTTTTAAAACAGCAAAGTTAACCTTTGCAAATTTGGTACTGAGCCTGCAGCAAAGTTTGTGTTCACCTAATGCTGGTAGGAGGCCCCTAGGAGAGCCTGTGCTATGGACCAGGTTGCCCAAACTTCGCCCAACCAAAGTCCACATGGACAACTTGTCAAGAAGCTGAGGGGTGCCCCGAATGGGTGTAGAACAGGTAGCTGATTGCAGCTGCCCTCTTATACGTGTGGCGTGGCAGCTGCAACTCAGAGCATGTAACACTATCTTGATCTGAGTAACCTGTCTGTGTGGGTCAAGCTGGGCACAGATGGGGGAAGTCATGGTTCATTGCATAATGGGTTGCATTTGGCCCATCTCTGGCCACCCTGTTGTTAACCAGTGCAGTGCTAAATATGAGTGTTAGCTGATAAAAGCCTGTTGAGTTAATATGCCAGTTTGAGCACATTCTTCTGTTTCCATGTGGAGGCCCCCTTTCAGCTGTTGGGAAAATTATCCACATAACGAGCTTGGATTTGCCAAAAGGCCTTGAGAACGACAGCAAATGCTGTTATCTGAGCTGGCTTTCCAAACAAGCACAGAAACCAGAGAGTGACTGACGCAAGCCAGGAAATTCAGAGGGAGGCTGATGCCCCTTCTCGACTCAAAAACGTCACCCTTGATTTTGAAGTTTTCATCCTTAGGGGCTGATCCTGACCAGTGCTGAGCACCTATAATTCCCATCGCCATGGGGTTTGTGGGTGCTCTGCCCCTCTCAGCATCGCCTGCTATTTAAATCCATGTGAGATCCTGTGTTTGCACCATGCCTGGGAGCGAAGCTTTTGCGGTTTCGAAGGTAACAGTAATAGTGTTGTACACACATGGGCTCCAGGAGTACAGGAGGTTTGAAAGCCTCCAGCAGATCCCGGCCCCAACTATCTTCTCCCATATAGCTGGTTTCTGTTAACATATCAGGGATGTGTTCTCCAGGTGTCCTGTGCTTCTCTTGCCTCTTAGCTGGTCTTGTATGAACTTCAAGTTCCTCCATTCGCTCCCAGCTCCACCATGGCTAATTCGGTGCTTCTGCCTGAGGAAGTCAGGAGAGCTTTGGGCCACAGGGCTCCCTCAGCAATGGGATTCCCTTAGCCAACCCACCTCCTCACTTTTATCCTCCTTGTTCACTGCAGTTATGTCTCTGGCAGGAAGATCAAACTTCCTTAAAGTGTTGGTTGCTGGGTTCTCCCGCTCTCTAATGTAAACTTGCTGTGATTAATGCCCTGTTAACTATAGAGCAGTAGAAACCTCTTTGTCTGCTCTCTTTCAAAGCCATGAGGAACTGTTCCGGCCCAATTTCCATATGACATTTCTTAACAGCTCTGGCCTCTTTTCTCAGGTATATCATGGGCTGGGGTTCTGTGTCTCAAGGAGCCATCCTGTGGTTTCTTAGGGTGCGAGTTAGCTCTTCTGGGATTTTACAATGTAAATGGTGACTATCGGATGATTTTTACTTCGGATATTTATGTGATTTGTTTCTCTTTATATTTCTAAGCACACGACACCTTTTTTTAATTGTCAGAAGTGCCTTCTTGACGTGATATAGATCCTGCACAGGGGACAGAGCAAGCCATGCTTCTAAAAGAGCTGATCCAGGGCACATCCTTAAGCTCTGTAGAGTTTCCACTGTTTTCTCCCCCTCCCGCCCCAATGCATATTGCAAAAATACCAAAGCAGCTTTCAGCACTTTTGAAATGAATTTCTCTGATCAGGACAAGAGTTAGTGGGATGCACAAATCCAGTCGGATTTCCCTCCATTCATTGTGCATTAGGAACGTCCATCAGTAAGTCAATGCAGTATCCTAAAAACTAAAGGTGGAAAGGTTTTAGTGCCAGAACAAGTGGAAGCCATTCATTTTCGCCTATGGATGCTGCATGATTTGTGACATGTCACACTAGCTCGTAACACTGGGAAAGTCCAGACTGCGGGTATCAGACTGACTTCACTTGGAATAACCCAGTCACTGCTCTGATGCCTGATAAGTCAGACAGGAATAATGTGCATTGGCCTCCCTCAGTGCTCCCGTTCTAGTATATTGCTTGGTTGATGTTTTCTGTACTGTTTAAACCTCTGTATATTTTACAGATTTGTTTCTGTTCTTTGATGATTGATGTGTAAGCCTCTTCGTTTAGTGGTTGCTGTAACTTTGCCTTAAACTGATTTGGGGAGAAGAATACTGGGTCTGATTTTTTTCAGGCAATGCAATTAATTATACCAGTTCAATTTGAATATGTCTTCAAATAGAGCCATTGGCCTGAGTGCTGGTGTGCTTGTTCTTCAATGAGCCGTTTTCCCAGAGTGGGGCTAAGGGGGTCATATTGTCCCCCTTAGGTGGGAGCACGGCTAGAGTCAGAGCAGGAGCTCTCTGTCATAGTGGGGGTTGCTTTTCCCTCTCCGCTCCCCCGTCCACTCCTATAGTGTTCGGGTGATTCAGGAAACTAGGCTCTCAAGCGAAGTGTGGGAATCTGACAGTACGGAGATGACAGCTAGGAGCCATTTATGTGTCAAACTCCCCAGACTAACAGCCACCCTGGTCTTTGTGAATAACCCTGAGCAAACTGGCTGTATCTAAGGGTTCAGAGGGGTCAGGGATTGGGAAGTAGGAGGAGATAGTGGACAAGGAAGGGGTGTAGAAGACTGAGGAAAAGGGAAGGAAAATATAGGGCCGGTGAAGGGACAGGAGGCTTGAGAAGACTGTGCACAGGGCAGGAGACTGAGTGGGACAGGGTGGAGGACCTGGTCAGGAAAAGCTGAGATTCCCCACTACCTGGTGAGCCTACACATGCTGGTGCTTAGAACGAATCTCAGGGGAATCCTAGACCAGTTCTCCAGGTGGTAGCCCCTCCCCTAATTGTTCTGGCTTCTGCTCTCCGGGTGGGGGATAGCTTTGCTTCTCAGACCCCTCACTCTCTGCGCCTCTGCGGGGTGATCCCAACCAGCTGGGCTCCAGGAGTGGGTTACTGCTAGGACTGTTCTTGGATTCATGGGCCCTTCTACTTGAGGGTGCCTTCTTGCATTACAGCCTGAACCTCATGCTGCTGCTGCTGCTTCTGCCCCCTCCTACCCCCAATGTCGGCACTACCCCTGCTGGAACCCTTTGCTTTCCTCCTACTTTCCCCCAGCTCCATTCCAGCAGCTGCCCTGCTGGTGGGTCTTCAGCCCTGCTGGATAGCAGGGAGCACCACTGGGGGCTGTGAGGCTCAGCCCCTGCAGGGATCCCCGATTGCTGCCGCACCACTGCTCTGACTCCTCTTTAGAGCCCCCCTCTGCCCGCCAGGCCTCAGCCCCCAACCCGGGTCACTTGGTTAGCCTTCCCTCCACCCCCACTTCCTGGCACAGGGATGCAGCAGTAGCTGGTGTTGGCTTCCTTGCATCAAGCCCAGGAGCAGATCTACATGGGGCGTGGCCAGTGGGGGCCTAAAGCTCTTCATCTGTTTGAGAGGCTCTTCTAAGGCTTCTAGCAGCAGGGAGGGGAGAGGGCTTGTAAGGGGAAGCAGGCCTACTGGTAAAGGGGATGGAGAGAGGTGGTGCTGGCTTAGTTCTGCACCTGGGCCAATCCACTCCCTAGTAGGGCCTTAAAGGGCCAGACAGCTTTTCAAAGGCCAGCTTTGCCTCTCCACTTGCAAACCATTGCACCTGACTTACTAGATCTGTAACCCTGTCCTTTGCCAAGGACCATCCGTGTCCCCTTCATATAAACTCTTACCCTTGCCTTTTAAACTGCTTTCACCAAGAGGCTTGGGTCTGGGAAGAGAAGCTTGAGAGGGGATCCATCCAGGCCACATAGATCTACATGTTGCTAGCATAAGACTCCACAAGGGCAAAGCTGGGAGTGGTTTGGATCAACACCCTGTAGGAACATGGCCGGGTTTGGGGGGTTTCTTAAACTGACACCATTGTTTTCATCCCAGCTGCTGTTATCTGTATCAGGCCCACAGTGTGCTTGGAGAATCTGGCCTCCCAGTAGGGAAGGAGCCTTCCAGCTGGCACAGACAGCCTTGTGGCTGGCAGATGGCCCTGCCCCAAGCTTGCTTCACCATCGACAACTCCTTCCTCCACCATTCTCTGTCCTCTCCCAATTTTAAAAAGCACTTTTTAAAAACTACGTCACTGCAGCCCTGTAGCAATGCAGTTCTTGCCCTTCTCTGGGCCTCTCTATCCACATAGCAAAGCAGGACCCCCTGCCTGAGAACTCCTGGGGCAGGGTACCATTGGCTGCTGCTGTACAGCCATTCCCTCCTTCCCTGCTGCAAAAACATGTCTGACTTATACTGTGGCCGTGGGCCAGCTGCTGTACACAAAACAAAACCTAGAGCATGTACTTCTACTCCAGCCCCATCACAGTTATTTCCTTATGCAGTGCAAGGCCCCGGGCTCTCTGGTGGAGGAGGCAGGCAATGTGTGTTTTACAAATATAGTTATTTGTTTCCCCATCCACGCCTGCCCCCCCAAGCAAATATTCTGCTCCCTGGCAGCCTCTTGGAGAAGAGAGGGGCCTGACTTGCTCCTCTAGCAGCCCATCCAACCCATGGCTCTTAACACCTGACCAGGTCTCGCATCCTCCTTCCTGCTGTTTGGAAGTTAGGTTAAAAATGAATTCTACACCATGGGGGAAAATTGAACCACATGCAAAAGTAGGACGAGATCACCACAGAAAACAGAATTCAGGCACCACCATGTATTTACAGTAAAGAGTTTAGTTATCAAAGTAACAAGGTAAAAAATTCTAAACACCAACTGTGCTCCACAGCCGCATGCAGTCACAGAGCAACTGACACCTTCCTCAGACACACAAATTGTTAGTGAGCAGAGTAGAGACAAAGCCCAGGAACAGGCTCAGAAGTATTCACATCAATTACAACAGCCTCACTAGCTGGGCTGAGTGGAATCAGTGGACCAGAGTCCCAGGGCTACTGGAGTCGGTGGCTGGTTTCAGGAATCTCTGGGGCTGGACCCCTCAGTCCCTCCTCCTGTCTCCACCTCGCTGCTCCCCGGCTCCTTTCCCTCCGTGGCCAGGTTCCCTTCTCCTGCCTTCACGCCCTGGCAGACGCTGATGGGAACGGCTCTCCCTTCGGCAGCTGGCAGGGCCAGAGGCGGCGCCTCGATGCAGAGCTGCCCGTCCTGGGACAGGGAGCAGAGCAGGGCCTGCACGTTCACGGCTTCCGGCAGGAGCGTTTCTCGGCGGATCTCTCTGTACTCGTGGGAGCAGACTCCAGCCTCCGACTCCCTTTTCCTCTCCCGCTTCCCCGTCACCGTCAGCTTCCTCCCGGCCAGTCTCACCGTCAGCTCAGCTGGGGAGAAGCCGCTCACGTCCATGGAGAGCTGGTACTTCTCCTTCCCCGGCGCCTGGGACCCGGGCTCCTTCCCAGCACCCTCGGCCAGCGAGCGGCCGCTCTGCCTTGGCGTCGCCCTCCCCTGGCCTCCCCCGCGGAGAAGGGGAGAAGCCAGCAGGAGGGAGCGTCTCATTCGCTCCATCTCCGCCAGGGGCGTCGGCATGTCCCCCACCAGCCGGCCCAAGAGGCTGGGGGGACCCGGCCCCACGAGGCTGGACACGGGGCTACAGCTCCGCCACAGCCACACTGGGAGCGGGAGCATCCTGCCCGGGGCCGGGCGCCGCGGGGCCGAGCTCAGCTGCCGGGACGCTGCCGCCGGAGCGCCTCTGCCGGGCTCCCTGCCTGGCTCCGGCGGCCCCAGCGCCGCCCTTTATACAGCGCCGGGCGCTTCGGGAACCTGCCGGTCCGGCTGGGGGCGGGGCCTGGCGCTGCTCGGGCGGGGCGGGGCGGGGCTGGGGGCGGGGCGAGCAGTTTCTGGCAGCCGCCCGCGGGCGGAGCTGCCGGGCTGGGCTTTGCTGGATCCTTCCCGATCCCGCTGTAGCAGGGAGGGAGCGGGCGGGTCTCAGCGCCGGGGGCAGAGGCTGGAGCCCGGGGTGTGGCAGAGGCTGGAGACGGGGCGGGGGGGGTTGTTACATATTTAGTCTCGTTTCAGGAATTGTCAGCGTTTCACTAACGCTCCCCCAGCGATTGATGGGGAAGGAGGGGACCCATTCCCTGAACCGCACTCACGGGAGGGATCGGAGTGACTCCCCTGGGGCTGCTGGTGTGAACAGGTTCGGGACGCAGCCCGCCTTTGGGACCGGAGACGAGTCTCTCTTATTGTTTATTACACGTGCGCTGCGGGGGCGTTTGCCAATCTCACGTGTCTGCGCCACAAATCAACTGTCCCCCCCCAGCCCAGACACCGGCCAGGGAACGGTCACCTCGGCGGTACCGCCCGGCCAAGCCTGTGCCCCGGCGCTGAGACCCGCCCGCTCCCTCCCTGCCACAGCGGGATCGGGAAGGATCCAGCAAAGCCCAGCCCGGCAGCTCCGCCCGCGGGCGGCTGCCAGCAACTGCTCGCCCCGCCCCGCCCCGCCCCGCCCGAGCAGCGCCAGGCCCCGCCCCCAGCCGGACCGGCAGGTTCCCGAAGCGCCCGGCGCTGTATAAAGGGCGGCGCTGGGGCCGCCGGAGCCAGGCAGGGAGCCCGGCAGAGGCGCTCCGGCGGCAGCGTCCCGGCCCCGGGCAGGATGCTCCCGCTCCCAGTGTGGCTGTGGCGGAGCTGTAGCCCCGTGTCCAGCCTCGTGGGGCCGGGTCCCCCCAGCCTCTTGGGCCGGCTGGTGGGGGACATGCCGACGCCCCTGGCGGAGATGGAGCGAATGAGACGCTCCCTCCTGCTGGCTTCTCCCCTTCTCCGCGGGGGAGGCCAGGGGAGGGCGACGCCAAGGCAGAGCGGCCGCTCGCTGGCCGAGGGTGCTGGGAAGGAGCCCGGGTCCCAGGCGCCGGGGAAGGAGAAGTACCAGCTCTCCATGGACGTGAGCGGCTTCTCCCCAGCTGAGCTGACGGTGAGACTGGCCGGGAGGAAGCTGACGGTGACGGGGAAGCGGGAGAGGAAAAGGGAGTCGGAGGCTGGAGTCTGCTCCCACGAGTACAGAGAGATCCGCCGAGAAACGCTCCTGCCGGAAGCCGTGAACGTGCAGGCCCTGCTCTGCTCCCTGTCCCAGGACGGGCAGCTCTGCATCGAGGCGCCGCCTCTGGCCCTGCCAGCTGCCGAAGGGAGAGCCGTTCCCATCAGCGTCTGCCAGGGCGTGAAGGCAGGAGAAGGGAACCTGGCCACGGAGGGAAAGGAGCCGGGGAGCAGCGAGGTGGAGACAGGAGGAGGGACTGAGGGGTCCAGCCCCAGAGATTCCTGAAACCAACAACAAAGTCTCATAGTTATGGGACTTCCCGGCCAGGCCTTTCACCGTTTATTCCAGCAATGTTGGAACCCTTTGTATAGTGGTGGCATTAAGAGCCATTGAATCAAACCATAACCCCCTGTACATGCTGGAAACCCCTTCACGCCAGGGGGTGGAGCTGTCCCCCTAGGTCCAGCACGTCTGATTTACTCCATGTGATTCACTCTGTGAGACATGACTGTGAAACCCTCCCTGGTTGCTCATCATTGGTGTCTGACATTCATAACATTACAGTCGTTACTGTGAAAAATATTAATTTCAGAACTGTAAATAGCAGCTGGGTTGCTGTGTGCTGTTTGTCTGTGTAACTGCTGCAAATAAACCCATCTCTTCGGCCTCTTCTATTGTCACCCCTTTCAGTCCAACTTCCAAACTGAACACCATGGGCTTGGGTGGGGGCGGGAGAGGCAGTGACCTGTTCGATATTGCCCATGCTGGAGGACAGGTCCATTTCGTAGCTCAGGGGAGCAGGGGCAAGGGCTGCTGGCGCAGCAGAGGGTGTGACTTAGCGGCACAGTTGGTGAGAGAGGGTTTGAGAAGCAAAGAGGAGTTACTGTTCTGCATCCTTCTTCCGCTGCCCCCTCCACCCGCGGGCTGTGCCCTGGAGCATAAAGGGAAATAACTACAAGGAGCAAAGCAGGAGCCCTACAGCTAGGAGCTTAAGAAATTGGCTCAGAGAAGGGGTGAGAGCAGGGAGTATACGGGACTTCCTCACTCTTCCTCCCCATGCAACCTACCTGTCGCATCCCGCCGCCCTGAGGCCAGGTGCATCAAGAGGGACGCATGAGGGAAGGAAGGGGTGGAATTTTTTTGGCTGTCCCACTATAACCCCATCTGGTAGTGGCTGGAAAGGTCACTTACCCTACAGCAACAGTGGCTCTTTGAGATGGTGTGGGCATTGTAGATCCCACTGTAGACGGGGGGTTCATGAGCCTGGTGCTCATTAGCTAGGGGTGTTTCTGAACAGCTGTTGTGCCGAACTGGGAAACGTCTCATTCATTTTCATGAACGTATGTTCAGGGGCCTGACTCAGTTTCCCCTTTCGTTGTCTGTTACCTGCTGGGTCGGAAAGAGTTAACTTCTTGAAAGGAGACAAAGCAGTGACGTGGACGGGTGGGTGGGGTGGATGAACTAACAGCACTAGACAATACTTACCCCAGGTGGCTAGATGGGTCACCAAGGCAGCAGAATTGCCAGCCCCTGGGTGAATTGTATATGCTGGTTTGGACTGGGTTCAAGAGGCCCAGCAGATAAAGTTTGGAGAATTGTATAAAGTGGGCAACCTATGATAGCAGGTTGAGGCGGGTGGGGGGTTATTCTCACTTGGTCCAAGCAGTGACATGAGACTTTAGCCAAGGGGTCAGACTCCGCTGAAAGGTTGAGGGATGGACCCCTGCCAGGGGCTCCCTGCAGAAGATGGGTGACACATGCTAAGACAGGCAGGCTTTCTCTTCATGTTTTCGTTCTGAATAAATCCTTTCCTTTATGAAGCCTGGCTGGGCACAGGATCACCCGGTCATAGCCCCGGTGGAGACAGGACATCAAGTGCTGAACTATGCCTTGCTCAGTTGATCACAGTGAGTTGCAAGAGGAAATTACAGTCAAAAGTCCTGGTGTGGAGGGAGAGGAGCGTGATTGCCCTCCCAGAGAAAGGTGATGGCTACAGGCCTGAGATCTGAGTGAGGGCCCCTCCCCGCCCCCACTCCTGCTGGGGAGTGGGGTTAGGGCATAGGGGTTTCCCCTGATCCCCAGCAGGAACACTGGCCTCAGGACCCAGACCCCGCTTCCTGGCAGGAGGGGCAGGCAGGTAGAGAGGGACAATCCCCGGCCCCCCGACCCCTCCCCAACAGGAGCGCCAGGTGGGTGGAGCAGGTCAGGGCGTGCCCATTTTTCCAGGGCCCCCCAATTGGCTGGGGTCCCTGGGCCTGGGTCCTGTTGGCCCAGTGGCTAATCCGCCACTGAGTGTGATAGCGGTGTCCGTCCAGGCCACACATGCCCTCTGTGCCTCCTCCTGCTCTCACAAGAGGGCAGAAAGACGGGGTGGACAGACCTCCCTCCGTTCCTTCACAATTCAAATCCCGTGTTGCCAAGGTCTCCAAATGGAGGCCGGGTTGGAGGAGCCACATGGACTACGACATCCCAGAGAACCACAGTGCTGTGGGGCAAGTAGCAGTTCCCTGTTACAGTGTGGATTCTGATCTAGGCGACTGGAAAGTAGCACCCTCGCTGGATGGTGGGAGGGAGGCGTTTCAGCTGTCAGTCACACAGGGATCGAAGTACTGCTCTCCTGACCTTGGTTACCACGTCTACAGCATAACACTGAACAAAAGGCAGTGAGGTGCTCCACAGTGCAACTAGCAGAGACTGGCCCATGCCTGATGCAGGCAAAAGATGCCGCTGATGGAGCAGATCTTGTCACTCGGAGGGGGAGGCTTGGCAACTATCCAATAGCAGGGGAAATGCCCCGTGAGATCTACTTAGAGAGGCTCTGTGATGAGATGGCTTGTCCAGAAATGGCCACAAAGAGGCAGGTAGACAGCCTGAAGAAGGGAGTGGTGTAGTTAAGCAAAGAGAGCAAACTCTGGCCATGTTCAAAGTATATAGCTTCTTTTCTCCTAGCGCTGAATGCAGCTTCAAGTTTGGCAGGCAGGGTAATTGCTCGGTTGAGGTGGAATTCTGAGACCACCCTGGAGCTGAATGTGGAGTGAGGTCTCACCACCACCTTGGAAGGATGCATAAAGTAGCCTGGTTATGAGATCGTGGAGCTGACAAACTCTCCGTGCAGAGGTAACGACAGCCAGCAAGGCAGTCTTGATGTCCAGGTGGTGCATGGAGCACTCTGACACTGGTTCAGAAGGAGGCTCCGTGAGCTTTAGGACAGTGTTGAGGGCCCCTGGGGGCTGGGGCTCTAACCAGCAGATAGGTACGGAAGAGGTTCTTGAGGAATTTTGATCCCATCGGATGTGAGAAGATAGAATTTGGCTGTATGAGTGCGTGACATGCCGATATTGCTACATGATGGACCTTGAGAGTTAAAATGCTGGTTTCGATGGGCATCCCAACCAGTCCCTGTGGGGTCTGTGACAAGGGTCAGCACGGAAGGCAGGGATAAGAACGGCCTCCCTTTTGTACGTTCACTGGCTCTAGCCACTACATGAGCTTTCACAGGGTTTGAGGTGGGCCTCTGATGCTCTTGTTCGTGTGACATGCATGGGAAGCACACAGTAAGAGCCACATGTGGTCTGGCAAGCGGTGTCATGTATGTACACACCAGCATGCGGCCTAAATCCCAGACACGCACACACTGTTGCTGGATTTAATTTTCAGTAATTTGCCATCGATTGGAGAGGCTAGAACCTGGCCTCTGGGAGGTATGCTCCTGCCGATCAGGGATGGATCATGATGAGCCCTGCTTAGGAGAAGAGGGAGAGAACACAGGCTAGCCCTTTAGTTGTGGTCTCCGGCTGGGACCTGCCTCTGACCAGCAAGTCAACTAGAGATGGATTTTCTACCTCCTTACATGCACAACCAGGCATACTGGTTTGGTGAATACTTTCCATGCCACGCAGTATCTGAAGGGCAGAACCCTGTTCCGGTCAGGGTTGGGCCTCACTGTGAATCTGAGGCACTTCCTGAGGGAAAGGGGGCAGGTTGATGGCTACGTGGAAGTACCAGCGGATCGGACGCTCCCCAAGTTCTAGCTCACTGCCATGGGCGATAAGAGAAAACAGAGGGAGGGTTGAGGCCGTTCCACCCTTTCTGCCCTTGTTCAAGAGCATGTGGTCTGGGGTGCACACATAGCCCCAACGGACCACCGGTCTCATCCACATGAGGTACATGCACACCTACAACAGCTCCCCAAGCAGCCACCTCCACCCCACATGGAACAGGAGGAGGCAAAACACAATAAGGAAAGAGATTTTACTTTCCAGTGGCTGAGTGTGTTGTAAACAGTGAAGAGTCAAACAGGAACCTGTGACCATAACAGCCAAGTGGCAAAGGGCTCACCCAACACAGTGTTGTCAGAATATTTAGCCAAACCGTGCCTCATAAGGTGTCATATGAGAAGTGGCGACATGTTGGTCATTAGAACCACTGTGTGATGGGGGGCTGACAGCCACTGAGCCAAACTGTAAACTCTGGATACGCTGGAAACCACTTCAAGCCAGAGGGCGCTGCTGCACCCCCAGCACCCCTAGTTCCAGCAGCTGTGTGTAAAGAGTATGTACGCGTGCTGGAAACAGGTTCCTAACATGTGGTCCGACGGAGCAATCTGAGTAGCATGAACAAACAGGTTTGTCCTAGACAAGGGAATGTGGATGTACAAGTCTGCCAGGGTCAAGTTCGTAAGCCAGAGACATGGAAAGTACATCTACAGCAGCCGTTCTCAAACTATTGTACTGGTGACCCCTTTCACATAGCAAGCCGCTGAGTGAGACCACCCCCCTTATCAACTAAACACACTTTTTAATACATTTAACACCATTATAAATGCTGAGACAAAGTGGGGGTTGGGGTGGAGGGTGACAGCTTGTGACCCCCCCCATGTAATAACCTCACGAGCCCCTGAGGGGTCCCGACCCCCGCTTTGAGAACCCCTGGTCTACAGTAAACACCATGATCAAACCAACCGAAAGAGACTAACTTTGTCTGGGGATACGCTTCAACCGACTACATTTCAAAGGGCTACCAGACTATAAGGGGAGAAGACCCTTCATTATCCATCGCTTAGGGAATGTCTACATGGCCATTCAACAGGCTAAGGGGCTGTTTAATTGTAGTGTAGACATTCAGGCTCCAGCTGGGGCCCTGCAAGCGGGGAGGGTCCCAGAGCTCAGGCTCCAGACCAAACGTCTACACCACAATTAAACACCCTCTTAGCCCAAGCCTCATGTGCTCAAGTATAGACATACCCTCAGGGATATAGGGGTCAGCACCCTCTGCTTCTGTGAATGCTGGACCCTCTAGCCCAGTGGTGGTTGATCCTAGAGGATCTCCCAGTCAATCGCGTTCTCTGGCGGTGCAGCATGGCTGCTGCTAAGACAGGCTCCCTGCCTGCCCCAGCCCCACGCTGCTCCCAGAAGCAGCCAGCAGGGCCCCCAGGAGCAGGGGGGTCTCCCTCCATGCGCTACTCCTGCCTGCAAGCACCACCCCCACAGCTCCTATTGGCTGGGAACAGGGAGCTGTGGCCAATGGGAGCTGCAGGGACGGTGCTTACAGAGAGGGACAGCACACAAAGCCATGTGCCCCCGCCTCCAGGGGTGTGTTGGCCTCTTCCAGGAGCAGCATGGGGGGGGTGTAGGCAGGGAGCCTGCCTTAGCGGCAGCCACACTACACCACCA